GGCCCTTGAAGGCGCCATTCGCAATGCGCTTGATGCCGCAGCTAGACAGCTGCACATTGTGCAGACTCAAATTGCTGAAGATCTCATCTGGCAGCTCCTCAATGGTTGCATTGTTCACGTACAGCAAATCGACGGGCTTCAATTTCGCATATTTGTTCATTGCCTCCAGCAATTGCGAAAACTCGACCTGAAATTGACAGGCATTGATTGGTTATGATATGTATTGGGATTGACATGAGCTTTAGCTTAAAGTGGCATAGATAGCAGCAGCATTTACCATCTACTTGAGAACATTTTAAATCACTTTTGCTTTGGAATATTTAATAAGAAAATGTTTTTCTTAGAGAACTTTTATGACTAGTTGAAAAGTCAACAAATTTAGCAGCAACTGGTATCAATGCATCAATGAGGCTCAATTGCAAAAGTTTACCAGGCAAATTTACCATGAACCTTGATAAGCAAAGTTGTTTCATTTAGGCAAAAATCCAAGATGTATTTCATACGGATTAAAAAAAATAATAATTAATTATATAAAAATATTTTACCAGCAACATTTACGATGAACATGGAAACTTTATAAATAACATAAAATAATAAAAAATTTACATTTTTTTTCCAAGCAAATAACTCTTTTTTATAAGTTTTAATCTTAATTTAGAAAGCAATGTGAAATCAAAATTTAACAGGAGTATTTACCATGAACTTTGCATGACAAACTCACTATTAAGGTACATTTTAAAAAAAATCTATTGAGGAGTCATTAACAAAAGAGTTTTAATCTTAGATGAGTAAAACATGTATTTTTATCCTGAAGATAAATCCAGCTACTAAAAGTTTGTCCATGAATGGTACAAATTGAAATGCCTTAAACATTTTTTACTATTTTAGTTCACTGAAAGAATCTTGTAATATTTAATATAATATCATCCCCAGGATAAATCTAAGTGCTAAAACTACCTTCTGCATTGTACTGCCCAAATAATGTTCACGTATTTAAATTCTCGATGCTCACCTGATCGCATTGCACGCTCAGCTCTCGACCCAGATTATAGGCACAAATACAGCTCGTCTGCAGATCGGGCAAATCTCGCTGCCAGGGACATTGAGCGCGGCTCTGGCTGCTGCCAGCTAAAAGTAAAATAAGCGACGACAGCCAGAATTGTCGATTTGTGGGCGTGGTCGCTGTTTGAGTGCTGCTGCGTTTCATCTTGTCGCCGGCATAGAGCTAGAAAAAAGAGAAGCAATTGAGAGTGGGATTTTTATATAAATTGAATATATTTTATGGCTATTTTATATCATTTTAATTATTTCTAAATAGCGTTTAGGCCAGCTGGGTTTTTTGTTGGAGGAGCTGGCTTTATCAATCAGTTGTCCAGCTACTTTCAATTTACTTTTTTTCTTCGAGCTCGTTAAACAACAAACTGTGCGTGAAGAGTGTGTCACCTTAGCTACCCCCAGCCACGTGCTCAGCTTCAATGTCCTGTTTGCCCATCGGTCTCATCATTCTCATCATTCTCTCGTTGATCCTTTGGCAGTTTGGTTTGATTAATTTGCCTGTCTGCTCGGAACTCGGGCTCTGTCAGGCCTCTTGCCCATAAAAAAGAGGAGGAGAAGCATAAAAATATCAGCATAAGGCGAGGCAACAATAAGCCTGCATCCCTTTTTAGCAGCAACAAAATCGGACATTTAATTTAATTTGCCAAACGCGACAGGCACGTAATAAAAAAGCAAAATGGAGAGTGAAGAGAATTGAGACCCACTCCCACTCCCACTCCCACACTGTCCCTTGGCTCCAGTCAAAGCTGTTGACCTTTTTGCATAATCATGAATTATGGCCACGCTCAATTGTGAGCCCCTTCGCAACCTTTACGTTTCTAAGGTGTCTCTATTTGCGGGCACATGGGAGCTTGTGCCATTGTTTTGCTCGAAGACGAATTGAATGCGCTCTAGGTAAGCGTTGCGTATACGCACCGTTGAGCGTTTGCATGACATAATGATAGCTTGTTAATGTACTTTGTTTTGTTTTTATGAACAGGTGAGTTACCTGTGCTTGAAAAAGGTCTAAACATAGACTTGAATACAATTGTTTACTTATATTTTTATGTGTTTTGCTATTATTCCGTTGAATGTAGACCATGAGAATCTTGCCAAATTCTCATCAAATTAGTTAGTCAAAGTTAATCGGTCACGCGTGCCCTACACATAATGGGTGTAAGGAGATCTAATTATATATCTTATATCTTATATCTTATATCTATATGTCTTTGTCTCAGTCTCAGTCTCAGTCTCAGTCTCAGTCTCAGTCTCAGTCTCAGTCTCAGTCTCAGTCTCAGTCTCAGTCTCAGTCTCAGTCTCAGTCTCAGTCTCAGTCTCAGTCTCAGTCTCAGTCTCAGTCTCAGTCTCAGTCTCAGTCTCAGTCTCAGTCCCAGTCCCAGTCTCAGTCCAAATTAAGTTAGTTTCAATTTACTCAGAGTTCAATGCACTTTCAATTTCAATTGAATTATTTAAAGGCAAAAGTAAAAGTAAATTGCAATCAGGCTCCCTCTACACTGGAGCTATTCCCTCTTCACTCTTGCGTTAATCAAATGAAACGCTTCATTGATTTGTTTTAGAGCCACAAAGCCGCAAAGTAAATAATAATAATAATAAAACTAAATACATTAAGTCGCACGCTTCGCTCGCTCGCTGATAGTAATCAACATTTTGTCTTTTGATTGATAGTTTTTACAGCAGCTTCTTCTTCTTTTTCTTTCGTTCAGTCCACTTGCCCTGCGGCTCGAAATGTCGTTTCGCTTGACTTGATTTTTCATGCAATTTGCCTCGTTTTTCTTTTCTGCTCAGTTTTTCATTGTAGTCTTCCTTATGTTTTGTCATATTCAAGTCTAAATTGCATTACGTGGCCCACAAATACTTTGCGCTTGAGCGTACATTCCATTTGCCACGCCCCCTGCCCCCTGCCCCTACACACAGTGGCTTCATTCAGTGCTCATTTCTCACTCAGCTGTCCGGCCGCAAAATTTAATTAAAAAATTCTTGCACCCATTTATTTTTTCTGGATTTTGTTCAGCTTTTTTTCCCACTCGCATTAATTGCATCACAAAAATGTTTAATGCGCGAAAGTGCGAAAATTGCAAGACACCAAAGCGCTGAATGATAAACGAATCAAGTACAGTTGTGCGGCAAAGTTTGAGCTCACTCAATAACGTTAAGTAGATAAAGGAAGAGAATATTGCGTAAGAGTGATATCGACTGCTTAATACTCGCTTAAGTTTTAGAGTTGAGAATATATAATTTAAAATGAATTTGAATGGCTTTTACTTAGCTCGCTCATACATCATTATTTAATGGGATCATGCACAAATATACTATATATATATAATAAAAATAAAAATAATTTATAAATTAATATAATTTGTATCATATAATCAAGCGAAACTCAATTTTTCTTGCTGTAGGAATTGAGAATCTTTGGATTTTTTATTATATTAGGATTTATATTATTTTATATAATTTTATAAATTATATAACAGATATTACATTTATATCGCTTCTTATTTATATATTAATTATTAAATTAATAATTTTCCTGGCCCAATCAAACTCCTGAAGTCATATCTCTAAATATTTAAATTATTCTATAAGCCTATTCTATTCACGATTATATTTTATATATATTTCAAATCACCAGCTTTGGAAAACCTATATACTCTTTCTCACTTCCTAAAACTAATTTTTTTTGCTCGACCCAATTGAAGGTGTAAATTTTCCTTTTTTTGTTTACTTTTGTGCCGCATAATTATTCGCTTTTTGTCTTTTTTGTTGCTCAAATTTGCATTTTTAGACAATGACTGCGCCGCAGTCCAACAAATTTCGTATTTTTCTTCTCTTTAGCTATTTGGGGCACAGCTTACAAACAATTTTTCCCTTAGGGCGCTGAGCCTCACTTAAAACGAGATTTAATTGAAGTTGCTCAACAATGGGAGTTTCGGCGCATTGTGGGCGTGGCTGTGCGACCGCATGATAATGCTGTTAAGCATTTAAGTGGATTAGAATTTTGCAGGTGTAAAGAAAAAAGTTGTGAGTGTGTGTGCGAGATGAAAAGTTGTCAATTGAAAAGTTTACGAATATGAGAAGAGCAGAGCGTAGACATATATACATATACTTTTGTGTGTCAGTGTGAAAGTGTTAGCTGAGCTTATCGTTTGGGTCATTGCTCGCATTAAAATTGAAAAAGTAAATGAAAATGAGCATTTTTTCCTTTCGTCTATTTGCCCGGCTTAAAAAGTGTGGAAAATTAATTGAAAAGCTGGAAAAGCAACTTTAATTTTGGGCCAATTGCCGGACTGTCTGAACTGAAACGTTTTTGTTAACTTTAATTTGTGTTCACTGAACTGTTAAGATTTCTTATCAGGGCAAGAAGAAAGCGAGTCGTATACAAAGTAGCAGCTGGTCGGACCTTGGCAGATTGTCTCTGTTTGGAAAGAATTTTCCTCAAACTATTAGCTTACTAAGCTACCAATCACAATACTAATATATTGCTAATTAATTGCTCTATACATAATTAATATAAAGCAGCTGTTCATATCTGTCAATTGGTCTCATAAACAGTTGATATTATTGATTTCCTAAATAAACAAAGGTGTTGACCCAGCTAATGATTTATGACGCCTTATTGCTGGATAAGATAAGATAATCCTAAAGAGCGACAAATAATTGTGGCTGATTAAATGACGGCGAAATCTGTGAGGTTAATTAAAAGGCGTTTCCAAGGTGGCTAAGAATTTGATTGATAAACGTTGAAGCTTTATAAAATTCTGCAACGAAATTTTGTAGTAAAAGTAGCTCAAGCTGTACTCAGCTCAGCGGCTAAAACATGTTGGGAATTAGAAGAAATAATTAGGAAATATTCAAGGAATGCTTTCTTTAAATACAAATAAAATTGTACAAAGAGTCAATGAATAAGAGAATGCCACATCTCATCTTAAAAATTATATATTTATTTTGCTTAACAAATAGGAATCAATAAAATGCTCTTGAAAATAAGATCTATTTCATGATACACGCATAGAGTGGTTGTATAACTAGCATATATTATACGTTAGTATCTGACTGACGCAGACGGCATTGGCCTCGTCGAAGAAGTAATTGCCGCAGCTCTTCTCATCCAGAGTTCGACCATCGACACAGCGTAGATAATGTCGACAGCCCTTGGTGGGGCTGAGGACAAAGGGTATGGTGCGACCCTGGCAACGGTCCTCGGTGCAAACTACCTTATTCGGTTCAATGCAGCTTTGAGTACTTTTGTCGAAGAACAAATCGTCCTTGCACTTGCCCCATTGTGGATTGGCATCGACCTGGTTTTCTCCCTTGTCGGCACAGAAGAAGTAACCTTGACAGGTGGCTCCGTCGGGCACCATTACATTCTTCTTGGGACTCTTAGTTGTGCCACACACATCCTTCGGCAGGGGATGGGAATCGCAGCGGACCAAAGTCTTAGCCTCACAGGCACCGGTGCGGGCTTGATAGTAGCCCGTCTTGCAGGTCTTGTCCTCCAGAACGCCCTTGGTGCACACATGATACCGATCGCAACCGAGCACATTGTCAAAGTTCACGCCATTTTTGATGATGCTGCAGTAGTCAAAGTTGCTCGTGTGGCACTCGGAGGTATGGCTCCAGATGCACTCCTGTATGGTCTCATTGAAGTGCGTGGCGTCTGGGCAGGTGCCATAGACCGGTGTCTCCTCGTCCATGCAATAGTAATAGCCAAAGCAGGACTTCGGGTCTGCCACAAAAAGACTAGCAGAATTCGCACAGGAAACATCACAATTGTCGGCTTCCGGCAGCGTCTTGACACACTTCAGCGTATCCTTGTCGAAGAACGGAGTTGGACTCTTGCAGGTGCTATAGGTGCTCTTGCCATCTAGACAGGTGATCGAACGACTGCACGATTCAGGATCACGTATAACCGTTTTATCTGAGAACAGCGTACAGATATCTTCTATGCGCTGACCCAGAGTTAAGCCGCAAAGGCTTAAGGCGCAGATGGAGATGACGAAGCAACTGCTTGCTGCAAGTTATAGAAAGTTGAAAAGCCTAACTATAGATAGAGTTCTCTCTCTTCTTTTTCTAGCTCCCACCTTTCATTTTTAATTACAGGTCTGTTCGCTCCGACAGCTGGCTTCAAACTGAATGGCAAACTAATGCCAACAGGATCTATATAAAGCATTGGCATTTGATAAGCCAATTGAATATCTTCAATTCATTATTAAAGGAAATTCCCACAGATTAGATTAACCATATCATAGCTAAAAGGCGTGAACACACTAACTCTGATTATATATAAATATTTTATTCAGAAACCTTCAGCTGCACAGATGTTTCCACTCCTTACGTAGAGAGACCAATCATACTGATAAATCAATCTGTGCAAAGCTTAAGCTTTTTTTGAAAGAAAAACATAAATAGCTATCTATATATGCTATATATGCCGGCCCCTTATCGTGTCATAGTATACGGCTTTCCGACTTTATGACTTTCAATTGGGTCCATAAAACATTTGACATAAATTATAAGAGACTTCTGTTTGAGAGCAAAATAAAATATGTGAATTAAATATACAGATTGGAATATTAAGTCTTTGTAGTGGTCAGGGTAACTTCAAGTCAAGCACTCCCGACTAGAGCAATCTTATTTATTTTCTTTTTCTACCTATTCTTAAAGCTCATATTTAACAATGTAAAAACGTTGCTATTTTTAGCCAACACTGCCATTAGTTCAACTACTTGTTATCTACTTAATTGAAAGCCTCTTAAAAGCCCAGCAAAAAAAAAAAATATAAGACGAGCAAATATATAAATTTTATTTGGTAGAACTTTTTGTCACAGTCTCTTAACTCTCAGAGGAGTCTTAAAGGCACTGGCAGTTGGCGCTTGCTCTGTGGGTTATATATTTTTGTGGCCCAGAAATAAATAGAACTATAAAGTGAGTTGGCCGAAAAACAAAAAAAATGTGAAAACAAATTTTTTGACCAACTGATGTGTGTGTGTGTGCTTTGGCCACAAAAACTCTAACGTTACGTTTGGCCATTTATTTGGGCAGTTTATGGCCGGGCGTTTCGAGCCTCTTGCCAATTAATGATGTGCAGCGCTTTAGCTTGTCCAAGACCAGTAGCAGCAGGGGCGGCAGGGGCAGCTAACCATTGTGTGGTCGAAACGCTTGTCAATTGCTTTTTAGCTGCTTTCGAAAGCTTTTAAGCAGCTGCTGCCTGGCTCCTCTGCATGTCCAGGCCAAAACTCATAAGCAAAGTTTATGCAAATGCACAAATAGCTGCACAAGGGCATAGTGGAAGGGGCGGGGGAGGTGTCAGAGTGGCTGGTTCAAGCCCCATTTGCTGGACACATCCGCTGCTGGCCAAATAAGTCAGTTCCGCCTGCTGTCCACGCTGTGCAACACATAACGGTTCAGACACTGTTTTGTGACACAGCTCCAGCTCGAGGTTCAATAAACTCTTTGCTCATGACTCATGGGAACAGCAGCGGAGACTCCTGCTTCTTCGCCTCTTCTATCTACTCCAACTCCTGCTCATTTGCTATGCACCACACAAAAGCGGTTGGAACAGCGTGAATACCAAATGCGCTCTCTTTGGGACAGTGCGTGTCATGGATCGCAGATATAGTTGGCTTTATATATATATATATATTTATATATATATCTATATATATACATATTTCATATGTAGGTTGGCTTAGACACCGACAGCTGTCGCTGTCAGCCTTTATTGTCGCTTTGTTGATGGCACGCAAACGAGCTTCAACGGCTATGCCAAGAAAAAATAAAACTTAAGGGGCTATTTATGTGTTCTCTTTTTTGTATAAAAAATTGCAAATTTGTATATTTGTAAATTTGTATACATATACTTATATGCATATCAACACGTAGCTTTTAAATTATGAGCACTGTTTGTTGCGAGCAATCAAAATAAAATCTAAATCAACCAAACACTTACAGCAAAGCAAATGAGATTTTAATTTCATTTGATAATTCTAAAAATTATAAAAGAAATATATAAAATATAATTAAAAATAAATATATATAAAAAAGTAATATAAGTAAATTAACTAAACATTTTCATTTCATTTTAAAGCAACCTTACTATAAGTGAACTTAAAAATTATTAATAAATATATTTAATTTTTTTCTCAAGGTGTTGTTTGGGTTAAAAAATAATAAATATTCCACACTGATTGTTCTTCATCCCTCTTGTGAAGTTAATTCTGCTACTTTAAAGTTATCGCTATATTCCAATTCATAGCTTAAGCCCTAACTTGTATATCATTATATGTGATTCTTACTTAACTTAAACTACAATTTATATAGCTGACTCCCTTGAAGCTAGCTACACGCTATCGATATATATCGATGCCTTCTTAAACTACAATTTACACAGCTAGCTCATATAAAGCTAGTTCTACGTCGATACATTTATCGATATACTTTAATTTTAGCAGAATTTAAGCAACAATTTATATCAAACTCCAATATCAATGATCTGAAAACATTGCGTATCTAAATTGTAAAATGAGCTTAAAAATTTTGGGTAATTGCTTCTCTTAAATCATTAATGGTGGCTTCATACAACGTCACATTAATTTCCCTTAATAAAAAGTCTAAAGAACTTTGCTCTACCCACTATAACTTAGTCCAGTTGCCACATAAAGAATTTTGTTATAAGCAGTTATGCAACTTTTGACAAGACTTTGTCCGTTGTAATTTTGGTTCGAAATTCGCAAAGTTTCATTGCAAACAATTTCACTTAAATTATATTGCATTTTGGTTTAGCAAACTTTAATAAATATTTCTTTATGCTCTGTTTTATTTTAAACCAAAAACAAATTCTCTTTGCACAGAATTGCGCGTGGTTTTCCGGATACACGCACCTGTCTGCTGCACCAGAAGCTGCAGATGCTCAACGTTTGCGTGGAGCGCCGCTTGCAGCGCGAGGCATTTGGCAAGCGCAAACAGCAGCAGGCGAAGGTTATGGACCAGCAGCTGAGCGAAGAGGATGATGAGGAGGAGGATGATAGCGAATTTTATGATTGCGATGAGCCAACCTCGAGCAGTAGCTTACCAATCAAAGCTGTGTTAAGCCTCAAGCCTGAGGGCCGTTTGAAGCGTTTGGGCCAAGAGCGTTTGCTAGATGAGCCGGACGAATATCTATATGTGCCCGAAACCCAGGAGCCGGTGCCCAAGACCGAGGATCAGCTGCAGGACGATGCGGAGGTGATGCTGAAACTGGGCCCCGGCTCCGGTTTGAGCACACAAATGATGTGCACTTCGCTGATGTCCGACATGGAAGCCTTCAAGGCGGCCAATCCACGTGGCAAAATGGAAGATTTTATACGCTGGTACAGTCCCAAGGACTGGGAGCAGGTGTTGAGCGGTAAATAACAGGAGAAGGAGATCTTCTATTAGACAGAGATTATAATATAGATAACTTTGTTAGATAACGGCGAGAGCACGCATCAGCTAAGCGTTCGCATGACCACTGAGGGCAATACTTGGCAAAAGGTTTGGCAACAGGCGCAAGCAGTGCCTGTGGCCCGACAGCGCAGACTCTTCGATGATACGAATGAGGCGTTGAAGGTGCTGCACTATCTGGAAACGCGCAGTATGAGCGAGATCTATGGACTGACCATTATACCAGCGCTGCATACGGCTATACTTAAGCTAATTGTGAGTTGATGGGGATACAACTAGATTAATATATAATTAACTCTCTCTACTCCACTCTCAGGACATCTATAGCAATGCCCAGGTGCAGGATCTGTTTGCCAGCCACATTGAGCAGCTTTTAAGTGACTTGTGTCGCCTCTCGCGCTCCCATTCCAATGAGCTGCCTCAAGTGGAGCAGCTGCTGCAAGATCTATCCGAACTGGAGCGTCGTTTCTATCAGTTCAAGTGCTTTGAGAGACTCGCTGGCTATCCAAAGCGCAGCAATCTGGCAGAGATCAAGCGACAATTTGAGGAGATACTGAAGAATGAGAACAGCTGCACAATTGTGGACAAGAAGCGCGGCGCTGCAGGCGATGTGCTCTGCAGCGGCGGCAGCCTTTATGACCTATTGAGCCCTAAACTGGAGCAGGATATATCGAATCGCTTGATCAGCAAGGATTATGTTATACGTCTAGATGGCGATACAAAATCAACCGAGAAGGGTCTCTATCTGGGCCCACAATTCATGCGAGCAATTGTAACGGGCGACAAGCTGAGACTTTGTGGAGCATTTACGGAGAGCACAACTTTTGTCTAGGTGGCAAGAGCTATGATGTTAATGATAAAAGAGAGAACTATGCTTATAATCAGACTACATAATATATATATATAAATTATATATAATATATATTATATTTCAATAATGCCCAAGCTACTTTATGAACTCTCCAACACATACTCTATAGCAATTGAAAATTATGAATTTATCTATTATAAATACAAGTTCTCTTCTATTGTTAATTATCAACGTCTTGATTACTTTTAATAAATAACTAACAGATATTGTTCTTTATAATTTAAAGTAATTTATTCTACTTGATTGTAAGTTCTTGATTGATAAGTCCTTGAATTATATTTCATTATATTTCAATTGCTTTTGAATATTTTAATTATATTTGGTGCTTTGTAAAGTTTAAGTTTTGAATATATAATAAATACAATAAACATAATTTTGTATGAAATGCTCTTTTGGTGTGCAACCGCAACATTTTCCTCCTATCAATATCAATTATAACAAGACAACATTTACACTTGAGTCAGAAATAAACACACTCTCCCACATAACCACATCTAATCACATAATCATGCTCGCAGTTGCGCTCCTTTCCCTTCTCCACTTAACTTTCGAGCATAGCACTTTAAGCCATTTGCAAAAACTTAACTCGAATTCAAATGTAGACAGGCAAATTGCCTAGCCACAGAGCCAGAGAGCCACGGAGCAAGCGTTAAATACAAGACTATGCCCAGCGGGCGAGACTCCTTGAAAGACCCAGCCCATTTGGTTTTGTGGGCCATGTTTAACTCGAAATTATTTTAAGACCGCTCCGTTGCGTTGCCGTAGCGGAGGCAACGTTTCTGCCTCATGGCCAACACATAAAGCATTTCTCTTACGTTTCTTGCTGCTTTTTTTTTCTTTCGCCTCGTAAATGCTGCGCCACTAAATTACCTACAGGCTATAATTGTTTTGTGTACATGTCGAGAGTCGGCAGTTGGGAGTCGGCAGTCGGCAGTCGAGACTCTTCAACAACAACTTGTGCAGCCTTGCAACAATGTTCGAGTTTCTTTCTCTCCAACTAAATATGCACAAGTGTGGAAATAGTATTTTGTTTAAGCATTCTGTATTTATTGCACTCACAGGCAGCTCTCCAACTAAACCCAATGCTCATTAGGTTTTATCAAGGGCATAACTTTAATATAATACCAGAAGTGTAATTTATGAGAATTTATTGTTTCATGTTTTCGGATATTTTCTTATAATTGTTTAACGTGGCGTATCTTAGGATTTATTAAAAGCTCAACTAAGAGCTGGAACTATGGGAAAAAAGATGTAAAATATAGCAAAAGCTAAGGCTTATCTGAGGTTATATATATCATATATATATATATATATATATATATATATATATATATATAGATCATATGAGATCAGCTCTAGTTTATGCTGAATTTGATATTTTTACATATTTAATTTGTGCTTTTAATGAAACCTCGGCTTGAAACTTTAAAGCTTCTTGGCATAAAGTGCTTTTGATTAATCTGAAAAGTTAAAGCTCTGAAATATTTATGTTAGATCAACTTGGTGCCACATTGAGAAATTACAGTTTAATTAAACTATATCATTAAAACCAAAGCACTAAACTCTTAAAATTATTTTCTTTTACGCCGAGCAGCAAGTGTCTTTGAATATATATTTTTTGTTATATTTTTTGTTTACGTGACAGAGCTTTAAAAATTAGTTGAAAGCTTTCGATTGATTCAATTCAAATGAAACAAATCTTTGTACTTTGTCAGCTACTTAATCATGGAAAATAAAATACTTTCACTATAAAAGCTTCTCCAAACGATATTATTTAGCCTAAAGTTCTTATGAATAAATGAACTGTTATAGCCATCAAGCTGGTCTAAACTTTTACTCTGTAGATTTGGCTTTAAGCCAAGTCAAGCTTTTCACTTAAAATGTGCTTAATTTTTCACACCAATCATGCACGCAATACGAGATTTATGTGCGCTCGTAAATAAGCTTTTCATAAATGCAAATCCACTTAGTAAATCAAATTGAAAGTATGATAGAATATGTGTATATATGTTTATGCATGTGAAGCATGCAGCATAATTGTGGTTTATGTATATATTTCAATATGGTAAAAAATTAATTAAATTCTCGCAATCAATTTGGCATAAAATGGTCGCTGAATGGAAGAAGTTCATTTCCAATTGATTTGCTGCTGGTTTTTGTGGTACCTATGCACACGCCCATAAAGAGGGAGGGTGAGTGTGTGTGTGTGTGTGTGACCAGTGTTACATTTTTGCTGATGCAGTTGAATTTTAATGAAAGCGATTTTCCTTCTTTTTTTTCTCGCACAGAAAATTGAATTATAGCAGACAGAGAAAGAGCGTGCTGGAGAGAGAGAGAAAGTGTGTGAGTGAGAGGCAAAACTTGTTGAGATTTTCAATTTCTATTGAACTCCGTCGGGCGCATTGAAAAGTAGCTGTGAATAAAAATGAATGAAATATTTTCTACTATAGCCAGTCAGATGGACTTAAAGAACTTTTCTCTCTTTTCTCCGCCGCTCTCGCTTTCTCTCTCTGCCTGTCTCTGCTCTCTTCGCTTTTGTATATTTTGTAATATGACATTGAGTTTCAGAGGATTATTGCTTTTATGCACATGAATTATTCAGCGATAGTTGACTACTGCAATCATAACTCATAGCGAATACATATATATTCACAGATCTAATTGCGTGCAATGAATAGCTCTGCGAATCGGAGACCAAGTCATAAAAAAAAATATTGTCAGCTTTTTTTTTTCTATTTCTTCGGAGCTCTCTTAACAATGGCGCCGTAAAACTCAATCGTGGGAAGCGCGCTGCACAAATTTGCATACTCATCATCATAAAGAGGAGCATAAGAGGGGCAGAAATGACTGGACTCAAGTGAACTGAACTCAGATTATAAGTTTCATAACTCAATAATTAAAAGTAAACCCAACAAAAGAGCTATTAAAACAAGTGGACGTGCAGTCGAGGGCTATCAACGACCAGCAGATGCTCTGACAAGATTGAACAATTAGTTTTAGATAGGCTGGAGAATAGATAGTCTAAAAGTGAAATATATATTTACTATATAAGGTCGTTAGGATGCTGGACATCAAATTTACTCGTATCAAATTCAAAAGTCTTCGAGTTATATCTTACGAACTTGGTAACTGAATTAAGTTTTATCAAAGGGTAACATTGCTTTCATAACGGTATCCTTTTTATGCATGGGCATTCCATCAAAGTTTATCATTTGAGTTTAGAAACTTCATATCTAGGTCCATTGTTAGCTCATCTTCTATGGCTATATTTTTTTTGAGCTCGGTAGAATACTTTTTATCAATTGGCATTCAAACAATTATCACCTAAAATTTAATTAAATGACGAAAAAATTAAAATCACAATGTTTGCCCTAAATCAAAAAAACAGTTGCTTTACAATTTTTATAAATTTTGGCTCGATTTCGAAAAGCAACTTTTTCAAGCCTCGCTGTTGACGCAAAAATTTTAAAGACATTTACTTGATTGAATAATATATATATATATTAATTAAAAAATTTTAAATTTTAACAATTTGTCGTAGCTCTTCTTAATTTCATTTAATAATTTAATGCATCTGGACAGCTGTTTTTTAATAGTAATCGTATGTTAAGTTATTTAAATTTGTTCCATAGATTTCTACAAAACGATATGCCCTTTTGACACACTTTCAATAGTTAGAGGGTATCATTATTAACAGCAGCTCAAATAAAGATTAAAAGAGCGACAACAAAAACAACAAATTGCGCACATTTTTAATGGCTCTTAGAGCTAAGGTTAGCACCGTTAAATTGAGTGTTGTAAAATTTGGTTTGGTTTTGTTTTTTTTCAACATTTTTTTATTATTTTCGTGTAACACGTTCGCTGATTAGAGTTGTCAGCGGCAGCTGTCTTAAAACCAATCTTAAGCAGCTTAATATAAATTTGCTGTATGCATAAATAAACACGCTCTTTCTCTCTGTCTCCACCTCTGTCTGCGTGTGTAATTTACGAGCTTTGGGGTGTGCCAAGACGTCGAAGTAGCCCACAAAATTAAGTACACAAAAAATACTCAAACAAGGTTGAATAATAACTTGTCTTGCAGTTAACACTCGAGTACCATGGCAAAGTGATTGCAAATACTTGTAATTGAAGATACCAATTGTTTGCCAGCAATTAGCGCTGTCATCTTCGTCTTTGCCTCTCTATTTCTCTGCATGTGCGTGTGCTAACGTATACTTAATTTTTGTGTGGGTTTCGGCTACGCCCGCATCTCAATCATTTCATTTGGCCTATTCAAATTTAAATTCAAATTCAACTTGTGACAACATCCGCTTAGGCAAGCAACCTGCTTCCATCTTCATATTTGGTATTTGGCATTTGACTTTGAGTTAATTAAAGTCTTCGCTGACTCACTTTTAAAGACCGTTTAGTTTTACGAAATATTTCAATATTTATTTAAAGCTGAGGCGCATTCATTTATCACTGCCAGCATTGTGAAGCAATCAATAATAATATGATTTGCAGCTGGTCTTAAATGTCAAAAATTCTAAGAAATAATTATGAAAGCTTTAGAGTTAATCAGAATTTTATAAAAGCTCTTTATTTATTATAAAGCTTAAAAGAGCTTTCTTTAGTTGCGTGCTTTTAATTCGTATTTTAAGGCCTAATCTTATATTTTTGTCATATATTAAATAAGTACTTAGTCAGGAAATTTATATGAAATGCCAACTATGAACTTGCTTATTTTTGTATGAGAGATCTCTTATGATGAAAATAATTATATTTGTAATACATTTAAACATAAAAATAAACATAAAGCAAAAGCTCATTTATAAATTTTACATAAATTATTTCATATCTTTAATTGTATATTTTTTTTTGGGAAAAACATAAACATAGAAAAAAGCTGAAATATATAGTGTCTATAATTAATTTCATTATTATTTTATATTTTAACTAAGCTGTTTTCCAACAAAGCTTTAATGTGCTTTTTAAAATCCACTCTTAACCTAGAGACTTTCCTGCAATAAC